TATAGCAAAAAATGTTTATTTAAAATCCGAGAAGAGACATGTGATAATCAATTTAAGAACTTTAAGGCAGGCATCTTGTGTTTTCTGACAGGAATGTATATTTAGTGACCTTCATGTTATTTTATTTTGAACATGAAGAACGCCATGGTATGACATTACGGCTTCAAGACAGATTTTCGACCATTAACATACTTACAGGGAGACTACCCAGCCCAAGAATGTCCTTTTTCTTATGTGTGAGTATTTGCAAAGACCATTTTGTTCCATACAGGATATGTTATTTCCCTACCAAAGCAAATGCTATAACATTTTGTTTCAGAAAATGTCAATAAAATTCAGCTACCTTTGAAAAACTTTAACAAAAATATTTGACTGAGGTTAGTTACAAACACAGGATTCGGTCTAACTCAGTGAAGGAAAATTGAGCGCAAACTGTGCAGAAGTTCTCAGAAACCACAGAAAAGAACTCAACATTCTCTCCTCAGTAGGCTGCATCTCCAAAACTGAAGCAGAAACACATGCTCACACTTTTTGCTATTCAGAGTTTTATTTGTTATTTCTTGCTTCGCGAATCAGCAACTAATGAAACTTGTTATAACTATTGCAAAGCTGGGAATGTAGCTATCCTTGTGAAAGCTTATTTTCTCAATTTTATATTCTTTAATACATAAAAAGAAATCTAATCCTACTTTTTGCATAGCTTATTTCCCAATATTTTAATGAACCTTACCAACACTAACAATCTTTGCTATTTCTGCAAAAGCAAGGGATCCCAACTTCAACTGAAGTGTCCTCCTCGTCCTGTTATACAAGCCTCAAATTCACCATTCCTAAGACCTTCAAACACAAAACTTGAGTAAACCTATCATCACAAGTTTGCTCCTGTGAAAGTTTAAAGATGCAGTAGACTGCACACTGCAGAAAGGTACAATCCTTGAGGGCCAGGTAGTTAACACAACAAAGTCAGCCCAAATCTGCTATGAATATGAAAACAAAGAAAAAAAAAAAAATGGGTTGTTTGTTTTACTTTCTGGAGTTATTCCTATGCCTCTGGTACACTAGCTATTTGCATATCTCTCTCCTGTACCTTCTCTAAGAAATATAATCTAAGGCCTGGACAAATTCCAGATCTTTGAAGGCAGCTACATTATGAAATTCTGCTATGGCTACTCACAGGAAAAAAAAACAAAACAATCAATGGCTTAAGAAAGAGACATTTTTGCATGATTCTTAGATATTCAGCAAATTATTTTGAATCATAACAGTAGGATATTAGTTTCTGGTAGCGTGCATACTTACGTGAAATACGAAGAAAATGAATAGGAGAAACATTTCATCATTGAAAAAGTGGTAGAGACTGAAGGACAAGAAGAAAAGTTATTGCTCTCTACCTAGTTAACTTTGAAAAAATTACTAGCTATACAAAGACAGCTCTGGAGTGACTACGAACACATCCCTTATTACTCAATTCCTAGTACGATCAGTGCTAGCCATTGGATATACGAGTGTTTAGAAGAGAGTGCCCGTAATTGCCAGTCTTTCACAACCAGTTGCTTCAGTTTCTCTGACAACATGTTAGTTTAATTCTCTGGTTTGGTCAAAATTCCACCCACCAGTGGTTATTAATAACAAAATCAATTTCTTCTGCTTCTCCTCCATTAGCTTTCTATTCCACCATGTTGAGAGATCCAAAAGACTGAATGAACAAGAGAGAAGACAGATTCCAGCTTTGGCACTGTTTTAAAGAACTAAGAAATGAAAGCATAAGCAAGAAAGATATGGTTGCATTAGGGGAAAACATGTTCAAAAGCTCAGCAAAATACATATAAGACTTGGCCTTTCTCCAGCTAGGATTTAAAAGGTAACAGGATGGTACACAATCAGATTTCAATAACTAAAAAACTTCAGATTGAAAGTATTTTTAAAATAAATACCAACAGCATAGCTTATGAGAAGTCAATCTATATATGCTTTTTAATGTAGTATTTTTTCCACATTCAACCTCATTTCCACCATGTTCAGCTTTTTTTCCATAGACAGCACTCTCTGCTGGAGACTACAGTGGAATCTATCATTGTAAGAATAAACTAACACACTAGAAAACTCTGTTCATTGAATAACTTCATTTGCTGCTATAAAGAAGTTTATCTTTCTTAACTTGTTTCAAGTGCAGTGGCATAACGTCAAATAGCAAAGCTAATTAAAAAACAGAAACAAGCGTTCAGGATTTGATCAAACAGTATGTTACACATGAAAATATACTAGTTTCTCAGAAATACACTCAACACATGAGCTCTATGCTCCAACCTATAAAAATACAAAAAGCAGAATATTTTAGATGAAGTTCTAAAATGACAAATATTTTGTTAAAGATACAGAAAGATTAACACTATTTGAGTGAATACTAAATAATTCATTAATGGAATTAATCAAAAATGTATCCAAATTCCAGTTTGCTTTTAAGGCATTCTCAGGGAAAAAGGAAAATAAAAATAATCAAGTAACTCTATAAGATCATTTACACAGTTAGGATGAAAACTTACTAACACTAGTTCCAAAAATACAAATATTAATCCACTGAGGAGACTACTGCAGCAGATTCAACACAGTAATTCCTGTTTTATCATGTTGGAAAATTGTATTGTGCAGGATGAAGACTACATGCAGCGACAGCAATTCAAATGAGCACTGCAGAACAACAAGCACCTAACGAGCTACACATGAAGATCAAAAGTTGATCCATTTGGACTTTTAACAAATGGATAGAACTACACAGAGTATCTGATATTCCCTGAAAGCATGGAGACAGCTTCCCATAAAAAGACAGAAAAAGACAAAATTTGAACCCCAGAACATTTTTCCAAGACCTCACTTGAGCAATCAAATCCAGATTCCTGGAAAAACAAGCAGGCATCTACTGAATATTTAGTTTCTAAAGATTTCATACACTCAACACATCACACTTCCAATCTCCCTACAAAAAAATTCAAATATGCCCGGAGGGGAGGGAATCAAAACCCATAAATACCAGGTGCAACAGGAAGAGAGCTCTAGACAGGCTTCACCCAAAGCCTTGAATTCTTGTAACAGCAAGTAAATTGTTAGCCAGAATCTCCAAATCACTACATGGTTCCTGCCAATCTGACAGGGACAGATTCCAGACAGTAAACCTAGTAAATTTTTAACCTTGACCAGTTACCAAGGCATATCAGCATGTCATAAGCAACAACTCCAGTAAATCCCATTCTATACTTGCAGTACTCCAGATGAAAGACAACCTCTACGTCCTCATAAATTGATAGAAAAATCATTTTTTTCCTGGCCCCTGAGGGTAACCCACAGGGAACTCTGAAACATAAAACTAATTCAGTACAAATATAGGAGGAACATGCACAGTCTGTAAGTAGTAATATGATCTCCTTTCAACATTCCTTGGACTAATCAATAAATTTGAAGCCCACGGACTTTACTTGGAAGCTTCAATTTTCTCTACTTTTCAAGCTCTATTTAGTTCTATTTCTCTCACTACTCTTGACTACTACGCTAATTAGAAACTTTCTCCAAATTTCCCCTGTAAATTTATCCATGTCCAATACATACCCAAATTGGGATTCACAAACTGAAGTGATACTGGTGCAACAGACAAAATGCGAACACTCACATAGCAAAACAAATAGTAAATAGCAAAACATCCATCCTTGAAACAGATTGTATGCACCACTCTGAGAATAGCAGATATAAATCCAGAAACTTGTCTGCTAGTCTATAGACCTTCTCCCACAATCTTCCCTCATCACGGTATCATTAATTTCTTACACAACTCCTTTCAGGATCCATTGACTTTCAGACTTCATTAATGGGTGGCATCGCTTTTTAAGTAAAATTCTGCCTGTGAAAAGATTCGGGATCCACACTTTCACAAGAAAATTTTACTGAAACATATCATTGCGCCTTGCAAATTTTCCAGTTTCCAAGCTTCAGGTGGGCCCCAAATGCGACTGAGTGCCCAGTACATACTGAGAAATGTTAAAGACTACCAAAAATATATATATATATTATAACATATCATACAACTAAATATAAAAGAATTTTTCCATAGGAAACAAAATATTTTGACAGCATTCTATAGATCTAAATAATGTCTAGCATTCACATGCTTAGTGATACACAGGAGCCAATAATACTTTTCTATGGTCTTATACTAATTTTGTTCGTGCTTTGATTTGTCAGGCAAATCAGTGTTTTTACTAGACTGGAAGTTCAGTCAGACTACACTGTTTCTAAGGAAACAGACCTGTTTGTCCTGATTCCTCTTACTGTGGGTAGCTTGAACTCTGTCTCCCTGCATTTTCACTCTTAGAAGGACGCAATAGGGTCTTTCCGAGGAAGACTCACACTGTCTTGTTTGCCTGACACTAGTCACACAATAATGCCGATGGGCTGCTGGGATGTAGAGAAGCAGACAGACTTGACACCATGCCAGATGGCTTTTTACCGTGGTTTTTTTACCCAAAAAGTTGGGGCACCACACATGAAAATACATTAGAAATGCACACAGGCAGAAGCCTTTGTTTATATGGAAGGCAAAACATTTTAGAACACTCAAACACAACGGGTATAAAATTAAACACAAAAGTAGCACTCATGACTCTTTAGCTTATAGTAGCAGCAGATGTTACTTCCCTCTTCAGTAGTTCTAGTCTTCATTTGCCAAATACTGGTTTGCCAAAATACAAAGAATACAGAAACTATGCAAAGCAATGTCAAAGACAATAAGCCCCAAATACAATTACTTTTCTTCCATAACTTCTTATACTTGCTTTCAAACGCCAAAAGTCCTGTTGTGTTATTTATTACAGATATAAAACAAATGGGTGTTATCTTCTACAGCAAAATGAAAGCAGAAAAAGAAACAACTTGGATACTCTAAAGTATATTTCTAAAACTGCAATAAGTACTTTGACAATATATTTTAAACAAAAAAATGAGTTTTTCCTTACCTCTCTAAGATGCATGTTTTCCTTCTCCTTCTGATCTAAAATCACTTCTAAATGATTAACCTGAGATTCAGCCTCTGCCATCCTTCGAGTTCTCTCATTGTCGTCTTCCATTCCTTTAGATGGCAAACCTTTACTTTGCAACATTTCCAGCAGCTTTTTTATTGATTCATCTCTGGCATTTAGTGTTTGCTTTTGTGTTTCAATCCTAAGCTCCATTTCTTCTAGTGTTTTTCTCAACAGGAAGAGCTCTTTAGCTTGTCTATCATGTTCTGCTTGAAGTCTTCGAAAATTCTCCTCTGTGAGCTCAATGGTAAAATGCTCAGCCCCTCGGTTTCCACTTTCTTGCTGGAGAAGATGGTTAAGGTCTCTCTGGGTTCTAAGCTCATCTTGAAGTGCCTGGATTGTCATTTGCAGATGCTGCAATAAAGAAAAGAAATTTTAAAAAAAATCAATTAGGACATGAATGTCAGATTAGTCTTTGATTAAACTTTTGTTGTACGCTGTTACAAAAATTCATTAGAATAAATGATGAAAGTATATCAAGTGATCTTATAAAATAGCAAATGTATGTGACAATATTAGTAATGATATCTTTCAAGAGCTTCTAAAAAAACAAAAAGACAGCACACACACAAAATAGTGTCAGCTACTGACAAAATAAATGGCAAAGAAAGGCAAAGCAACAAACCCAAACACAAGGCAGTGACACATCTATTAGTACAGTCAATGTGTACCTATAAAGCTGAAAGACTCAGTATTCCATGTTTTCTAACCTACTTCATAGACTAAAGGTAATTCTGCCCTTCATGGTGCTCAACGGTACTGTTGTTTATAAAGTCAATCAAAGCATTCACAGTAACTGAAGGGGCTTTGGGGAGTGGCTGAGTTGGGGCTGGTTGGTTTTATTTTTTTCTTTTGGCAACTAAAGCTACGAATGTTTTAATAAACAGGATTACTGCATCTCTAACAAACAAAAAACCACAATAAGCAATACTGCATTTAGAAAAATAAATTGACTGCAAATAGTGGACAAACCTTTGTTCTCCTGGCATCCAAAAACTGAACAGCATGGTAAATGAAAAATGAAGCAAAATCAACATAAATAAAGGTCAGATGCAAGCAAAGGAGATTCAACAGAAAGAACTGAATTCAACAAAAAGTACCTTCAACAGAAAAATAATTTTATTGAGTTCTACATAAGGGCATCAACAGCTTCACAGTACTCAAATATATAAACGTTAATTATAGACAGACTTTACTCAATAGATGTGACAAAGAAAAACATACAAGAAATAATTAATCTCACAGTGACTAATAACATTCCTATTTTATCCTACTGTTATTTTTCATTTCAAGGTTTTTCAAAACACAGTAACTTGTCCTAAATTATTTGTACTACATTTGAATACAGAGGTCTTTTTCTGTTCAAGAGGTAAATCTTACACTCCTTATTCAACACAAATCAAAAAGGATTTTGTCCATGTTAAGATTGGAACATAGATAATTATCCTAAATTAATATGGTTTATGATGTTAATTTCAGATTATATTTTTATCTGATTATTTGTTTTTCTTCTTATTTTTTCCCCTCTATTCACCACCTACACAGCATACTGAATTTATAGAAACATGAATTACTGAATAGGCACATGGTCTGTACCAGAATACATTTACTTGAAATAATTAGATGACTTAAATGCATGGCAACAGACCTTTTTGCATTAATGAATATTCTGCAACTCCGTATTCTAAAAATAAAACAAAAACAAACAAACAAACAACAAAACAAAACCAGAAAAAAAACCTCAAAACACACATAGAGCCAACAACAAACCACACCCTAAAAACACCCCAAAAAAAACAAAACAACACCACCATGCCACAAAAAAAAAAAACACACCACATCCACACAACCACATAATTCATTAATGCATGAACTCAGTATGGGAGGCTTCTTCATTTCATTTGGAGGACTTGGCAGTGTTAGGTTTATGGTTGGACTCAATGATCTTAAAGGTCTTATTCAGTCTAAACGATTCTATACTACCTTTACATTTAGCACAATTACTAAAGCTGTCAGTTTGTAACAATAAATTAAATGAAAAATGCAAAACCTTAAGAAAATAACCTTTTGAAATCATGTCTTTTATCAGCTACTTCAAATGGAAAAAAGTATTATTGGTGGTAGAACTCTGTACAGTTAGGCACTTTGAACCTGTTCTATTGTTAAATAGCACTGTTTTAATAAACGTCTAGGTCTCAATTCTCTTTATATTTGCATCATATTAGGCACACACTCAGTTAAGAGCATACAAATGTAGGCTATGCATTTACAGCCCGGCTTTTATTTAATGGTAATTCCTATCTTCTCTAAATCTCATCATCTTTTTAATCATTTATACAAACTTAAAAGCTTATAGTCAACTTAAAACTCCTCTAGATATAGCAATTTTCCCACTTTAAATTTACTAATATACTATTTATGACCCCAAGATTGACAGTTTTAGCGCAGAAATTCAGTGCATAAATCCAAATGAAATTTGCAAATAGTACAGAAATTATATTCAATGATTGTCATGAATGAGCACATTAACAAAGGACGGCAACGACAAAAAGGGACAGACGCTGCAAAGTAAACAGAATCAAAAACATTTATTTTTAAATGCTTTATCACAGTGTTAAGTCATAGGGATATAATTTTTATAGATTACCTTAACCAGTCAATACACTGGTTTTGTGATGATTTCAAACTAAATGACATTTTGTATTAGAGAATACAGACTTACTGTATTCTCTAATTCTGTGTAGCTTTGTAAAACTGAAAGTTGGAGAACAGATGCTTGAAATTACTGAATTCAAAATAATTCAATTTTTACTAAAGTTTCTTTTCTACAAAAAAATATTATTTTTCTTCACTAGCATTAGAGCAGAAATAGGGATGAAAATCCTGGTTCAAGAGTATTAAAAAGTAAAGGAAAAAGAAAACCAGAAACCACCTTCACATTACATTACATTACATTCTTCAATATATGACTATTGAGATGGAAAAGGCAAGGAAGCAGCTAAAAGTAACATTTCACTTTTTTAAAAATAAAAAGTAAATTCTCAGGAAAAAAGATGAGATACACCTTCAAGAATATATTGGAATATCTCCATTCTCATCTTCGATAATGATTTAGCTTAGCTGATAATGCTTCAAGCTAATTTAAAGTTACACTCAATAGTTTGTTTCAGTGGCATGACTGAACAGTGTTTTTTCATAAGTATTTAAGAATTCACAATATATATTTCTATCTTAAAGCTCAAGGAACAGGTTTTTTTCTGTTCAGGTTTTGTTGTTGCTACTGGTTGGGGGTGGGGAGGGAAAATGGTGTTTAAATCCCAGCTTCTGACAAAAAGCAATTATATATGAGAGTCACGGCTTCCATTGACAAAAATACATTTTTATTCAAAGGCAGCCATGAGTGTGTGACAAATGTGACTAAAATTAAAAAGACCACAACCAAATAAAAAAATAATTATATAAAATTTTTCATTCAATCTTATTATTTAGGGAAGCAGCTTAATTTTCTACAACTTTGGAGTTGGAATCATATTACTGACCTGATTCTTCTTTACTTAATTTTCCTGTTATGGAATGAAGCCTTGGTTAGACCTTATTGAAAATTTTCAGATGAATAATTATGGAAAAATAGATTTGTATCCATTTAAACTACTTATAAATTTGCATCAAGCTTGACAACAAGCACCTTTCAAAAGAATTCAAGAAATATTTTCTTGTTTTTCAAATTAGAAGTTTAGACTTCTAAACTTTTTCCTGATATTTTTAATTATAAATTTTCCTCCTTTTTTAAATTTAATTGGAATTTTCCTAAGTTAAACCTTTCCTTTTGATCAAACAAAATTTCATTTAACATTTTACAAAGAAATTTCCCTTTCAATTAATTAATTTCCATGTTGGTGTCCACATCAGCTATTAGCCAGAGTTTCAGTCCCAGGGCATTCATCTGAAGAATGAAGCTCATATCTATACATTCTTCAAAAGAGTAACTGCCTGAAATAACACACATATAAAATTTATTTTGCATAAGCACAGTAAACTAAATCCTCCACATTCCAAAATTATTTCACTACTAAGCAACAGTAATATTCAGCAACTACAAGTAGTCTTGAAATAGTCAAAAGGAAAGAATTGTTTTCTCCAATTTGAATAATGATTTAAGATAAGTCCTCCTAATGTTCAATTGGACAGTATTTATTACTTGATCGTAAAAACTATTTACAAATAAACGTTTTCGCAAATCCAAGCAATCTCTGTAGACCAAATGCCTATATGTCTATAAGACTTTAGCTAAGCAAGAGAAACTCATTCCTAAAACATTTAAAATGTTGTAAGACAAAATAAAAGCAAACAACATATGTTACTAATGTAATGCCCTTCTGAATGCAAGCTGGAAAAGCCAAAACTGTTGGATTCATACACAAATCATCAGAAATCAGAATTCAAGCAACAATTCTAGTAAGATAAGCTAGAAAACTTCCTTTTCTGTCCAAACTGTGTATGCGGTTCTTAGGTTCTACCCATAACCATGGGTGTCACAGAGCACAACAGTAGTTGTGGCTGCTTCTCAGTAATTATGCTAAAACTAACAGCCTCAACTGCAGCAGACTACTGCTACTTTGACATAAGTGAATCCATTTTTGTACACCTTCAAGGCTTAGAACTCTCTTTGAACATAATGGACCCGATTTAGACTTGTGCTGGCACAGACTTTCATATCTGCAGCTAGCTAAGAAAGGAAAGAACAAATGTTGTGAGGGTGGAAAGAAATAGTATAATTAATTGCAGTGGGAGAGGAATGTAGGTGTTCTGTGAGTATCTGTCATTACATAGACATAGAACTTTATAATATTTAAAAAAACATGCAAAACCTATCCTATTTTTCATAATTTCTACAGACTAATTGAACAGAAATATTTCCATGCCAATTTCTTGGTAATAGATAAATAGTTTTCTCAGAACTTTTTCACTCCTTCTCTGTAGCCCGACTCCAAGAGACAATCCATGGAACTGCACGGGAGGTTCCATTAACCTTTCTCCAATTTAAGCATAGTACAGGTTTTCAAAAGTTGCCCCCATAAAGTCAAACAAAATTATAAAAGGAAGATGAATTAGTAGCCCTTCCCAGATTCAAAATCATGTTCTACAGAAGGAAGTTCCTCTACTCTGTGCCAGCTGGCTACTGCAAAGGAACTGCCTGGAGAGAACTGTCCTGCCACAAGTATGCCTTGAGCCAGAGCGCATGAGTGCTTTCAGAGCATCCCAAAGCCTTAGATATATGGTGAATAGTGGAAGAAAAGCAAATCACAAGGAGCCTCACTGATTTAAAATTGTTAGTCCACCTACAGAAGTCCACA